ATTAATATTTTAAACAATCAACAAAGGAAAAAAAATTGACATAAATCTTCCACAATTGCTTTATGCCCAAGCTTAAACAAAAAACCCCCCCAAAACTCCACTAAATCTCTTGTGTGCATGTTTGAAATTGCTTTGAATTTCCTAACTATATTTTTAATTGTTATTAATTATTTTGAACAGATAAATGATGATCGCACCGGACATTACGCAGAATGTGGATATTTTTACTTCAAAAATTGATTTTTTTTAAGTGAACTAGGTGGCTGGTATAAACCATCAACCGACCCATTCAGGAATCAAATAATCGGTTGTCAACCATCAACCGACCCACAAAGGTTGGGTCAGCAATAGTTTTCAAATTTGAACAAAAATAATTTGACGAATGGATCAATTTTTAAGTTGATAATCGACCGACCCAACCCAATCTCAGCCCTACATATCAAATTGTTTGTTGTGGAGTGTCCATCCTTTACGTGCACCACAAGACCAATTGAAAAAGTAATCAATCAAGCGATACGTTAATGAAAAAGCAGTGTTGTCAGGACTTAGTTGTCAGGACTTAATTTGAGTCATGATTAGATCCGTTCAACTAGCTTCAGTCCGGGTTTTTTGATTATATTTATTTTATTAGTTTTATTAATTTTATTAATTTTAACACTGTAAAAAATACTATTTTTCTGTGTTTTTATATATTAAACCTACTTTTTTTTTAATTTACTATACTCATTACTAATTCTACTTTTTATTAATTTAACTTTTTACTCACTTTTATTTTCTCTTTCCTAATCTATACTTTATTTCCCCTTCCCCCTAACTTCTCTCTCTCCATCTTCATCTTCGACTTCGCGCAGCAGTGTTGGTTGTAATATCTACACGCAAGTGAACGATCATACAAGTAATATAGTGGACAATTAAATTCGGATATCGAACCCACATGGAATATTTAATTACTTAATCCTAGACGCTAAATTCTAGCAATTATTATCAAGCTCACCCTACATAGTCGAATTTAGATAGAATTAACTAAATTAAACTAAACTAAAAAGCAAATTAAAAAGGCAAAAACAAGAAAGCAATTTAAACACGAAGATTAATCAAAGTAGACAAGTCTAGGATTTTATTCTTCCCCCTATGTGATTATTACTCCCCTAATTCCTTCAATTATGCAAGCAATTAACCCGGATTATTAGCCTGAGATGCTAAATTAATCATAACACGCTTCCGCGTGTATTACGATTCTAATACTCTAGATCCAATTACTGTATTCCTACAGCATTAAGCACAAATCTTAATAATGGCTACCTAAGAGATTAACTATATTCCTGTGTTAATACCACAAAGGCTCTTCTACTACAGTTCTAATTATTAACCCGATCTTCCGATTCATGCGATTAACAATAACATAAAACGCATAAAGTGGCCAGTTTCATGAACTTAATAAAACAAGTAGAAGAAAATAATCCAGAATTAAAACTTGAATAAAATCATAGAAAAGGGTTCATAAATCCCACATAGGGTTCCAAATAAAATCCTAGAAACCAAAGACTTAGTTACTCGTGATTCTTATGATAAAGAAAATAAAAGAAATAAATTAAATAAGAAAAATTATGCTTGAGTCTTCGTTGATTTTCGTTCCTCGCGTATTGTGGTGTATAATTTCGTGTTTATGGTGTAGGTACTTGTTGCTTTTATAGGTTTTTCTAGATAAGGAAGTAGTGGAAACCTAATAGGAATCAATTTCCGCCACTTTCCTCCATCAGGATTTGTTCTTCGATTTTTACCATGTTGAAGTCCGAATTTTGGAATGTTGCATAAATAAGAATTGTAGCCCTTGAAATTAGCTTTCTAATGCCACCAAAATCAGCTGATTTGGAGTTCGTATGAGAGAGATATGCTCGAAATGGTGGACACTGCCAAAGCTATGGCGAGATTCCTTCTTCCAATTTGATTTATTTCCTTATTTGCAATTTTTTTCCTTTCTTTTTGATCTTTTTTCCTTCATGGACACCTAATTCTCGTTTTCACCCATAAAATACAAAATCAATAAATTAAAGCAAGAATATAATTAAATCTAAACAAAAGATCTACGTAAAGTAAACGTATTGAGAGTAAAATTTACACTCAACAAGCAGCTGCCTGCCTCTCTCTCTTTATCTCTCTCTCTTTGAATCTGCATATCATTCTCTCTCTTTCTATTTTTTTTTCCCTCTCCACTTCCGGCCCCCCACCACCTAATCCGACCAACCGCCAGATCTCCCAGTTCCGCCCACCAAACGGCGTTCACCGCCAAGATCTCTCCACCACGCGCCGTTTTGAACAAAAACCGGGGTCTTCAACCGGTTTCCGAGTTCCGGATTCTTAGCCGTTTGAACCGGGTTTTCACCTATTGACCCTAACTTTTGCTTTTCCTGGTTTTTGTCATCCAACCGGCTCGGTGTATTACCTGGTCACGGTCGAACCACTCAGATCGTTCGGTCCGATTCTGACAACCATGTAAAAAAACATATTGCCTCAAACTTAGGGTCATTTTTCATTTTGCCCCTCTAACAAAAAAAGAAAAAGTTGCACGAGTATACTCAAGTAACTCAACTTCATATAATTAGTAGCAACGGTTGGAAATTTTCTATTTTTTATTTTTTATGTAAAAAAATGATTTTATTAGGTGTACTTGGCCAAATCTAGAAGAAGGGTAAAACCTTCCTTACATGAGTCACCATAATCTTTATCAATGAAATGTGCTAAATGGTTTCCTGAGCATTTAATGAATGCAAATGAACAACTTGCAAATTTATTCGCCAAATATTGCCGGTGCATTTCACTTGGTTTCAACTGGGGTAAAATTGTCATTTCCCACACTGAAACATAAACAAATAATTAGACACAATACTAAACATTAGGGAAACAGGGGCGGTGCTATGTTGACTTCTGGGTCCGCTGAAGCCTACCCCGGTTTACGCAATATTTTAATGCTAATCATATTTACTAAGTCCTTTCATATTAAACTATTTTAATCCTAATCAAATTTAATTAACCCACTCAACAGATTTGTAATGTAGTTTAAATAGCTCAAATAATTATATTTTGGATAATATACAATTTAATTTATATAATTTAATTAAAATATACAAATTTCTATTTCTTTTGCTCTATATTTTCGAAAAAGAACTCTTAAAATAATTCGGGGGCTCTATCCCCGAACCCCCATAAAATTTTAGTCCATCCTTGCCGAAAATTCTAGCTTTGCCACTACTAAATATCCAAATCTCGTTTAATTGGAAAAATTAATCATGATTAACTAAACAATTAGATTTTGTTTCATATTTGATATTCCTAATATCACCAACACATAAATGTTATGTTAAAATATAGAAGGCATACATTATCTCATCTTCGAGACATGCTTTCTATTGAATTTTCCAAGATTCAATAATGTAAGAGGATTTCATTGGATTACTTAATTGGGATAATTAGCAAGACCCCTCTCATCTAGGTAAATGACTCAGGAAAACTCCCCCTTCTAAAAATAATTAGAGAAAACCCTCTTACCTAATATCATTACCAAATATTATTTAATAATTCTCTCTTTTTTTTTTCTCGTCTTCTCTCTTCTACCGTTCTCTCTTCTTCTTTTCTCGTCTTCCCTCTTCTCGTCTTCTCTCTTCTCTCTTCTCTTGGCAATTACCTACGCCATGGATTATCGGTCAGAGGAAGATGTCTTTGTATTCGCCACCCAACAGCCATGGCGGCGGTGTTCCGAGCAGCACTCAAAACCGCCGTCTCCGCTCGGGAACTCGCCGCCCAGCTTCCCGCCGCCGCCAATCCCGACGCACACGTCATTGTTAGGGATTGATTTCGAAGAAGAGTTGGATACTGATGGGAGTAAATCAAGGCCCATAAGCAATTAGGGTTTGTTGGTGTAAAAACAGTTAGAATATGGAAGTGGGGTGGTGATGATGTGGTGTGGCGACGATGTGGTGACGATGAAAAACAGATCTAGGGTTTTTTGGTGGATTGTGGCGGAAGACGGCGCAGAAAAAAAAATTCGCGCAGGCAGGGCCCTTAATCGACTACATGGTTTAATCGACTATGTTCAATAGTCGATTAAGGCTTAATCGACTATGTTCAGTAGTCGATTAAGGTTAACCGACTCTAGTTGTTAATTTTTTTTTTTTTTTTGGATTTTTTGTTTATTGATTCCAATGTATAAATCAATTACAATGTTTGTATATATTTTTTTAAATGTAGTTGATTTTGCATTTTTTTTGTAATTGTGATTTGTTATTTTTAATAGTTAAATTTTTATTGATTCCAATTGTATAAATCAATTATAATGTTCTTATATTTTTGTTTTTTTGTAAAATATAGTTAATTTTGTATTTTTTTGCAGTTTTGATTTGTTATTTTTCAGTAGCAGACTTTTGATCAACTATGCTTTATTATAGTCAATTAAAAAACCTGACATAAAAAAAAATTAAAGAACAAAAAAAAAACTAAAAAATAAAGAATTTCTTTAATCGACTATGAAGCACAGTCGATTTAAGACGAATCGACTATGCTTCATAGTCGATTAAAAACCAAAAAAAAAAAAAAAAAAAAAAAAAAAAAAGCGCGGAACGCGTGACCCAGTGATAAGGTGGCGGGCGGGTAAAGCTGGAAACATAATGACTGAAATTGGAACATGGGTTTTTCTTAAATGGTCTAAAATATTTTGGGTCTATCGCCTTTAAAGAAAGTAATGGAGGTTATGTCAAAGAGCCCCTACTTAATTTTATCTTAACTACTAAAGGAGGCTGGTTTGATTTATGTTAAAAGGACAGTACATTGAAATCAAATTGTTTGTTGTGGAGCGTCCACTCTTTACGTGCAACACAAGACCAATTGAAAAAGTAATCAATCACGCGACAAATTAATTAAATTCAATTGTTCCTTTATTTTTTTTTCTAAATCTTGAGTTGTTCTTCCGTCATTATCGCCACCCAAATAATGACAACCAATAATTAAATAAATTAATTAAGTTAATCCATGTGTTGAATAATTAAATAAATTCATTTTGCCCCACTCTAATTCTCTACTTACCCACCCACACCAACGACCCGGACCCGGATCCCGACCCGACCCGACTCACCGCTCTATATAAATAACTCACCCTTCTTCATTTGCGCTACTCATCTCTATCTGCGCAAAATACCCGTGCATACACACAGTTGTACGTATTTACTTATTCCACGTCATCAATGGCGAAATCCAACGGCCTGATCGTGAGTTTCGGCGAGATGCTGATCGATTTCGTGCCGACGGTCTCCGGCGTGTCGCTGGCGGAGGCGCCGGGGTTTCTGAAGGCACCCGGCGGCGCTCCGGCGAACGTGGCCATCGCCGTCGCCAGGCTCGGCGGGAAGGCCGCTTTTCTCGGGAAGCTCGGTGACGACGAGTTCGGGCACATGCTCGCCGGAATCCTGAAGGAGAACGGCGTCTCCGCCGACGGCGTGAGATTCGACAAGGGCGCACGCACCGCCCTGGCGTTCGTGACCCTACGCGCCGACGGAGAGCGTGAGTTTATGTTCTACAGGAACCCCAGCGCTGACATGCTGCTCACTCCCGATGAGTTGAATCTCGATCTCATTAAATCTGTAAGTTGTATCTATATATGTATATATAATATATATATATATACACATACACACGCGCGCGCGCACAAATTTTTGGTTGTTCTGCTGATGAGTGAATCTCACGCGCATTTGCATTTTTCTCGGGTGTCTTATTTTGACTGGATTTAGTATTTTTGATTTTTGATTAAATTAAGTTAATTTAGCGTGAGATTCGTTAATTTAGTGAAATTTTATGATTTATCCACATCGCATCCAGCAAGGACTGGGGCCCACCAAAATCAATATTTTATTCTTTTTTATTGTAAATGAAAAATTTTCTATTTGGCCACTAAACTGTGTGCTCTTTTCTGCTTTTAATAATTCGTTGACTGTAGTTAAATTTATCCAGATTTCGAAATTATATTACATTATTCTGCATGATCTGATTTCTTGTTTATTGTTTAATTTCTACCTTTTTTTTTGTTTTTTAGTAAATCTTTTTAAAATCCATACATTTTCTTAATACTAGGATATTAAATTTCAAGGAGAGTCTCATGAAAACATAAACATCTATAAACAACTAACACCAAATTAAGTTCATCCCTGAATTATGGTCAAATTAGGAGAACCCTTTCTGTTTGGGTAATTATAGTCACTCCTCAACTCCTCAACTATGTATTATTTTACGAAAAAATCCCTTCAGAGGTAAAAATAGATGTATTAATTTGGTAAAATCGAACCGAAATTTGGGTACACCAACATATTATAGTTTACCGAACTATATATACGATTTGGTTCGATAAATAATCAAATTACATAAATTTTATGTAAAAATATTCAAAAGAAATGGTGAGGAATTTTTTTCGTAATTAACCATATTTTAAAGGATAGTCATAATTTCCCCCAAAAACTAATACGTCTAAAACCACCCAAATTTATTAATTTAACGAATTATTAATTTATCGAAATATATTTAAACGAGTGTAGAACACTACATGTTAAGATTATCTCTCTAACATAAATTTCTGTGCCACTCATAAATATGGTGTCGGTATTCGTGGGAGATGGGCTCCATTTATTTAATTTTTGACTAAATTGGAATCTATCTGTATGTGGCGTAAGAATCGAATCTACCTCAAAAATTTATTTTTTGTTTTTGTTTTTAGCACCGAAAGAAAATGGCGCTACAATTTTATCCTTGCAAAATGTTGGGGGGATTTAATTTGATATTCTTCCCATTATTATATCCTCTACCACACTAGATTATTTAAGATCTTTTAATTGAGGTCCTGATTAATTAATCAAGTGAAATTACTCTCTCAGTTTCTTTTTAAGTGTCGTCATAATTTATTTTTTATTTTTCATATTAAGTGCACTTTAGGAGGTAGGACAATTTTTTTTTGAACTTTATTTTGAAACGGATGGAGTATTTCTTTATTATGGTTATCTGTTCAAATTTCATTTAATGTGTATTTGATGGGATGATTTAATTAATGAAGGGATTTTGAGTCTGATAAAACAAATTTATCGAGCTTATTTCGATTGAGTAATTAAGACGAGGAATTTCGAAGAAATAGCTCTCGTTTTTAGTTGTTTTTTTACCGATTGTGGTGGTTTTTAAATTTCTCCCTGTTTAGAGTCGTCTCGAATTCTCCATTTTTGGACTCTTGTGACATCTATTCATTTCGACTTCGTCAATCCGATCAAAATCTTAGGCTTTTCAAATCCACGACAGCAATTTTATTTAATTTTGTTAGGAAGGGACGGTTTCATTTTACGATAAATTTTGAATCCATAGCTCCCATTTTACAATATGTTTTTTAAGGTACAATATCCGAGTGCAGTATGTTTTCAAACAAATGTTTGCGTTCATTCTTCTTTATGATTTTTTGGGAACAAATAAAGTTATAATACTAGTCTAATTTTGATTACATCTTCATTATTTTTTATGTAATAATATTGATTGAGTTGTATGTATATACATATAGGCGAAAGTGTTCCATTACGGATCGATAAGCTTGATAGTGGAGCCATGCAGATCGGCGCATATAAAAGCAATGGAGGTGGCAAAGAGTGCGGGTGCATTGCTCTCGTACGACCCGAACCTAAGGCTGCCCCTTTGGCCTTCGGCGGAATATGCTAAAGAGCAAATAATGAGCATTTGGAATAAAGCGGATGTGATTAAAGTTAGCGATGTCGAACTCGAATTCCTCACCGGAAGCAATAAGATCGACGATGAATCTGCAATGTCTTTGTGGCATGATAACTTGAAGCTGCTTTTGGTCACACTTGGAGAAAAGGGTTGCAGATATTACACTAAGGTATGTTATGCATGTTTTTTTTTTTCTCTTTTTTTTAATTCTTGATAATAATAAGGGTAAATTACAACCAACTCGCTGAGGTATGGTCAAATTATGAAAAAATTCCTCATGTTTGGATAATTATATCTCTCCCTCAACTATCTTCTTACACGTCCATCCTCGTGTCAAATTCAACATAATCTTCTTGATTCATTGGAATGTTCTCTAGTTTGTACGTGTTTTGTTCAAAAATGCAGTTTCTGATGCACAACAATATGACATAAACACATCTTAATCATCTTGCTTCAAAATGTGGAGCTCAAATGGGATAAAACAGGTACAAAATTGAGAATATTTTATATAATATACAAAATTTCACTAAATTTGACATTGCAAAAGTGGATGTATAAGAAGATTTATAGTTAATGAGTAGTTACAATTATTTAAACATGAGGGAGTTTTTCGTAATTTAACCATACGTCGTGTCCGTTGTAATATACCCTAAATAAAATACCATGGGTAGGTGTGGTTTCTTGAAACAACCCTTTGATTATATTCTACTCATCCTAGGTCTACTATGGTGAATAATTAAAGTATTGGGAGACAAAATCATTAAAAATATATATTTAAATTATATTTGAATTCGGCGGAATTCAAAAGTTCAATTACAATTTTACCCCTAGTATTTGTTATCGCATCCACTTCTTGGAAGGTGTGATTCATGTGACTTTATGCCTAATATCTTAAAACTTTAAAGGAATTTTGTTAGAGGAATTTTCAAAGAGAGAAAATTAGAAATAAATGATGTGACATGACATGATTGATTGATTGGAATAAATAAATATATATGCTTTGTTGGTGTGACATATTTATGAATTCTTTTTTTCTTTAAAATAAATAAAAAATAAAAGAATAATTAATATATTGTGTGGAATGAAATGAAGCAATTCCGTGGATCGGTGGATGCATATCATGTGAAAGCAGTAGATACAACTGGAGCTGGTGATTCTTTTGTGGGTGCCCTTCTTGGAAAGATTGTTGATGATCATGCCATTATCCAGGTTTAATATTTTATTTTATTTTAAAAAAATTAATAATATTTATATATAAAAGTAAAAAACGCTGTAGCATCCCTAAAAAATTTCTAATAACATATTTGTTATATTTTAAAATTTAATTATTATTATTATTATATTTTTTTCATCTTCTATTTTTCAATTTTTTTCTGCGATAACTTTTATAGCAAATCAGCTCGCAAAATCCTACCTGACTAAGATAATTTTTCCTTGTTTTGTAAGTTTGAATTTTTTTTCTAAATTTCTCTCTTACATACACCGATGATTTGATTCATTTATGCATTTTGTTTAGGCACCCTAAAACACTCTTAACGGCATATTTGTAATTTTTTATAATTTAATTATTATTATTATTATTATTATTATTATTATTATTATTATTTTATCATCTCCTATTTTTTATTTATTTTTCTCTAATAACTTTCATAGCAAATCAGCTAGCAAAATCCTACTTGACTAAGAAATTCTTTTTTGTATGTTTTGAAATTTGTTTTTTAAATTTCTCTCTTACACACACCGATGATTTGATTGATTTATGCCTTTGTTTAGTATATGTTTTTTATTGAGATTTGTATGATTTATTTGTAGAAATATTGATGTTAGTTTTAGTAATTAAAATTTCACAATTAATTATTTTAATAATGCGTAATTTTATCTAATACAATTTAACTATTATACATTTAATTTTTTTTTTTCATTTTTGCAATGCTACCCCGTGCATTGCACCGGGAGAATTGCTAATAATATAAAAAAAAAAAAAAAATCGACAACCCATTTTTAATTTTTCTTTATAACTAATTAATTGATTAATTTAAATGTGCAGGACGAGGCAAAATTGAAGGAAGTGTTGAAATATTCATGTGCATGTGGAGCAATAACAACAACTAAGAAGGGTGCAATTCCAGCTCTTCCAACCCATTCTGAGGTTCTTTCTGTTCTTAATGGACCCAAATAGAGGGAATAAAAACTCTTGTTTGAATTTTCTCCTCTTTTTTTTTTTCGTATCTCGAGTTTTTTAGTCGAGTTTTTTATAAAACAAAAACAAGTTTTCGCTTTGCAAGTTGTTCTAGAATTTAGGGTTTTTACTATCTTGATTTTACAAGTACTTGTAACGCTGAAACAATTTTCACTTTAATTGTGATTACGGAATAAAAATTTAGCGCGTTGTATTCCATTTTTTTCTTCAGATGATTATATTGTTCTTGTAGGCGTTTGGTTGAGAATGTTTATATGATTGATACAGTTCGAACTAGCAAAATTTTATTAATTTAGCGAAATATTAAATTATCGAACTAATAATCTAATACAATTTCACCGAGTCGAAACATACAAAAATTATTATTTAATCGAGGTTGTGCTATAGTCTTTTTTGTAACCACGCATATGATATTAGGTTTTAATTCATAATATCTTTTTTTTTATATCCACTAGTAACCATTCCCGTGCGTTGCACGGGATAGCATTCCAAAACAAAAGAAAATTATAATTGAAATGCATTGCTCTATAAATGCATGAATTTGTTTAAGAAAAACATAAATTAATTAATACATGTAAAAACCAACTTTAAATTTCTTACCTTGATGATTTTATTTGTTTAGAAAATATATGATAAAATTGAAGCATCCATAATACAATTTATACTAAAGTATAGATGTTATAATTAGATGTACGACGGATTTATTTGTCTAAGCTCTCAGTCGTAATTTTATGGAAATGCATTTTTTAAATTCTGGAAAAATAAAGAAATTACAAAATTTCGGTTTAAAAAATTACATGTTTGCATTATTATTGTAATGTACTTTCTTTCAATCTATAGACATTTTCGTTTTCGCACAGATAAATACTTGAACTATATTTATCTAGAAATTCATATTTGGAATTCTGCAAAAATATTAAATTATTGAGTTTACAAATATGTTTCTACTTTCCACCTTATTTTCAAGTGTATTTTCTTTTATTTTGTAGTGATATTGAAATATTTTACACACAAAATGTTCTAGACGTCTTCTTAATAATATTATTTCGTGTCAAACGATGTAAAAAATTATTGCTCAAAAGAAAATAAAAGACGAACTTGTGTACGTTCATGTAACCATGTTGAGAATAGTGTACTCATTCGAACCAAAATATCTTTTTTTTTATATCCATAATTTGTAACCATGTTGAGTCATTTCACGAAACATACAAAAATTATTATTTAATCGAGGTTGTGCTATAGTCTTTTTTGTAACCACGCATATGATATTAGGTTTTAATTCATAATATCTTTTTTTTTATATCCATAATTTCTTTTTCTTTTTTTCAATTTGGACCATTTCTCGATTTATGGATTGAGATCCCATGCTAATCATACAATCAACTATTAATTTGTTTCCTCGTATAATAGATTAGATACTTGGGATAATATAATCATAAAAATCACACAAAAAACATTTCATACTAATATGACATGAACTATATATATAATTCTATTCAATTTGATTGGTCTTGTCAACTTTTCACAAACAATGACAATATAATCTTAAATCCTAAAAAGATGAAACAATTTCATACGCAATTCTACTCTACTAAATCTAATCAATCACATCAATACTCAAAAACAAGAACCAATTATTCTTTTGAAATTGTGGATTACCTATATATCGGATTAATTTAGATTAAAGGGTAAATTACAAACACCCCTGATGTATGGTCAAATTACAAAAACCCCCCATTTTTTGGATAATTACATCTACCCCTCAACTATGATTTTTTCTTACACCTCCACCCTTATGGTGCCAAATTCAACATAATCATCTAGATTCCGTGAAATGTGCTCTAGTTTGTATTCGTTTTGTGTAAAAATACAGTTTCCGATGCACCACAAACTAATATATACAAGTTAAAAATCAGATATTATGATCATCTTGCTTCATAATGTAGAGTTTGAATGGGATAAAACGGGTACAAAAGTGATAATATTCCATATAATCTCGAAGATTCCACTAAATTTGAGGAGTTGAGGGGTGGTTGCAATTATCCAAACAAGAGGGGTATTTGTGTAATTTGACCATACCTCAGGGGGGTGTTTGTAATTTACCCTAGATTAAATGATATTGTATCATCCTCTAAGCTAACTAACTAATTATTTAGTTATATTAGGTTCGTTGGATTAAATTTTGTATCAAATCTGTTAAATTCTAGTATTATATGTGATTTTTCTATATAACTACTTAACAAAATTAAGATACGACTTTAGGGATATATTAATATGAAGAAGAGGAGGTGTAACACTAATTTAATGAAATAACAACATTTAATTCCGGGTATTAATTTTTGTATCGAGTTTGAGAGTACGAATCTTGTGAGACAAACCTCTTAATAGAACCTAATAGGACTAAACGGATGGCCGTTTTAGTAGAAACTTTTTTTTTTTATAAATAAAATCGATTTCATTCGGCAATGAATGCCAACTGTGGCGGAAGGGAATCCTCTCATTACAAAATAGATCAACCAAAGAATCTAACTTATGAGCTAAAAAGTTTCCCGAACACTTAATAAAACGAAACTTCCATGACACAAAAGTTTTGGAAAAAAAAACTCGATAGAACCTAACTAGGTGTATTAATCTTGTCCGACGGACGTCTTAATAGAAACTACAGTTAAACCTCTATAAATTAATACAGTGGGGACTAGCAAAATTCTAGTAATTTAATACATTTTAACCAATTCGGGACCGGAAGAAAATATTATTTAAGTGAGGTCATTAATTTATCGAGGTTCTACTGTACTATTTAGCCAATAGAAAGTAATAATAGTAACCAATCGAGACCTAATTGGAAAGTATGATTTAGGCCGAAAATAAAAATAATTTCGGACTACATGTAACAAACCAACCCTTTTTAGTATAGAATCCAAATTTCAGGGGTTGAAACAAACAAAAAACTATTGCACTTCTCTACTCCTCAAATTGGACAAAAAAAAAAAATCCCAATCAAGTTGACGATACTTTAGATATCGGTTCCTTCGAACGAAATACAAAACTCTAAGAAACAAACACAACAACGATGGAGAAAAAACATAAGAGAACAAAAAAGGGGCGGCGCATCTCTATCGTCAAAACCGAAAAAAAGTCGTTAAATTATCACAATGCAATTGCTTGCATCTCTATCATCAAAACCGAAAAAAAGTCGTTAAATTATCACAAAGCAATTGCTTGCGGGTAACAAGCATTAACTTCCATATGCAAAGATCCCCAAATGTGCTTGCACTTATCCCACTTTACCTGCATCTCAGCGAAAAACGACTTCGCCCATGCTTCGCTGCTTCCCTCCATGCTCAAATCATAAGGCACCGTAAAACTGTTCGCAAGAAGATAAAATATATTCACAAAAAACAATTAAATACATAATAAAATTTTCAAATTTCGCTCAGATTTAAGATTTAAGATCAAATGAACCAGGTATTATTAGAAGAAACGTATATTCCACTTTCCCCCTGTACTTTGACTCGACGTCACTTTACCCCATTCTAGTCTGGATTGCATCGATTTGGCCCTTGTACTTGAAAAATTGTCTCAATGTGGCCCTCGCCGTTAGTTTTCCGTTAGTTTTCAGACCTTAACACTGTTTGATCTAAGTCTGAAAATTACAAAAAAACCAACCCTCCCAGTTTAAATAATTATTAAAAAAATAAATTGTGGTTAGCGTCGTGGAGACATGGACTATGTTTTCTTGTATCTTGAATTTTTTATTATTTTATTTTTTGTTTTTTAATTTTTTTATTGTTTTTTTAATAATTATTTAAACTAAGAGAGGTGGTGTTTTTGTAATTTCAGAGCTTTAGATCAAACGGTGTTAAGGTCAAATGTCTGACAACTAGCAGCGAGGACAATTTTTCAAGTACATGGGGCAAATCGATGCAATCAAGAGTAGAAGGGGGTAAAGTGATACTGAGCCAAAGTACGAGGGGAAAGTGGAATTTACCCTTAAAAGAGAATATAATGATGTGTATAATTCTAGTTGGTGTTGCAGTTGATATTTCATAACTAACATTCGACAAAATAATTGAGTTCAGATTTCACGAAACAAATAAAAATACAGAAAAAATGCGAGCGCATGCAAAACGGAAAAAGCCTACCTCATTAGTTCTTCCTTTTGATGTCCTTTGCTGGATTTATCAACCCTATGAAACGATTTCCAAAAGAGACGAGTCATCAGTTTTCCGGGAAGATACAAAAACAAGGGCCATCATATTACGGAAAAACCTACTTCGTTCGTCTAATTAGTGAAACACACCTGTCGACAAAAAATTGATAAATGTGAAGAGACTTGGTTGAGAGATTACACACAGCACGCTCGATGTAGTCCTTCCCGAACAAATAAATCACCGGGTAACCAAGAAGCCACCTGTAATAACAAACAAATTAATTCGAAAGCTAAAATTTTGAGTTAGTTTGTAGATTCTTAATATCGAATGACGTCTTTTTTCATGGATAAAATGACAACGTGTAAATTCAGCCCCGAAAACGTTATGCTTTGCATCAAAAACTAAAATTTCAAATTAGAAATAACAAATAAACTGCACTGCTCTAATCAATTTAAAAATATAGATAATAATAGATTGAGAGAAATATATACATATATATGTTATTTTTTCGAATACAAATACAGTTAAACCTCTATAAATTAATATAGTCGGGACTAGCAAAATTCTATTAATTTATCGAAATATTAAATTATCCAACTAAAAATTAGGTTTTTTACCGATTCGGGACCAGAAAAAACTATTATTTAAGCGAGGTAATTAATTTATCGAGTATTAATTTATCGAGGTTCTACTGTAACTGGCTTAATTCAAACTCTACTTATTTATAACATCAGATATAATTTAAATTCCTTTGATTAAATTAAAAAAATACAGTAGAACCTCGATAAAATTAATACTCCACAAATTGATAACCTCTCTTAAATAATAATTTATTCCCGCCCGACTCGATAAAAACGTACTAAATTATTAGTTCCATAATTTAATATTTCGCTAAATTAATAGAATTTTGTTCGTCCCGATTGTATTAATTTACAGAGGTTTAACTGTATAGTTTTTTTTGCTTTTTCTTTTTTTTTTCAATAGGGGGTTTGAAGTTGCACTGTTTGTAAATCAACGATGCCGATAGTAAAAAAATAGAGCTCATGAAATCATTGGTGAGAACTGAGAAGTGATAATTAAAGCTCGACGATCCACTAATGCATCTCACAAAATATTGCAAATTAATTTAGACGAAAGTAAGAGTTTTACCCGTTAAGTGATGGGATTGTGACCTCACATTCCTTAAGGCAGCAACTTAGATCCACTAACGATTCAGCATCTCCGGCAGAGTGGGGCCCACTATCGTGTCGTAGCAAGTGATCGCTGATAATTCCGTCTGCATGAAAAACAGAGGAAAACAAGTTCTGAGCTGAGAGAAGCTGCGTCGTTGCATGGCTTTTCTCCGCTCGCGTCATCAGCTGAAATATCATAATATATATAATTCGGTTATTATTACATGGAATTAAAAAAAAACAATATTGGGAAAATATTATAGTTTCGTGAAAACCTTTGGCGGGTCGTTTTCAAGGTCAACAAAGAGCATCGTCGTCTCCATAGTCAAACTTGATTTGACAAAGTCCGCAAGTGTTCGGGCATTAATTAAATAGATCATTTCATCTATGACCATCACATGTAAAAGCTCGAAAATCGAGGACACCTAAGAGATGATTAATTAGCAATAATTACTTAATAATCTCTGAAATTCATATATTCAACAAAAACGACAAATAAGCAATTTAAATAATATGTTTTCGTTTTCTCGTTTCATATTGGAATAAAAGTGTCTTGCTTCTAATGTAATTTAGCCGGTATAATTGCATGCCATGTGGATTATTAAATAAATAAAATTCGAAAAATAGACAGACTTTTCTATTCATGCAATAAGAATAGATCCAAATATTTGAATTTCCCAGTAGAATTTAATGAATGCTTCGGTACAATCAAAATATTTCGAGTACATACAATCGTATGAAAAAGGAAAAAAAAATATTTACGAAACGGGATTTAAGCATTTGAAAGTTGTTCAAGTACAGATACAAGTAGGATAAAGTACGGACTTGCAAAATTAGAGTTAGAACCAGCAACCTAATTAATCGAGACAATGTATAAAACACCATTACGTAAATAATTAGACTAGGTCTATATTAAGTGCTAAAGGATCGAAATAATTCTCCCTTTTACGAGTCACACTGATTGGATAGACGAGTTTTTATAAGTTTTACTTGTATCCACGTATCTGCATAGATATAATTTACCAATATCGATCGGACTAGTCCAACAAAGGTATTACTAGCTAAAATTTATAAAACATAAAATCAGAAAGCAGCTTTACAAACCACCATTACGCACGTGTCATTTAGCGTTTATTTAGGCAATACGCTCGATTCTTGATTATCTCGGTTATTTGTTTATTCTTCCGTGGATGCTTGAATTTTACAAGGACCGGGTTTTCAAGAAACTATTAAGTTAAAGAAAGAACCACAAAACACCGAAATATACGGCAAGAAATTCTAATCAAGAAAGTAGAGAATCGAAAGAAAAAAAATGGATCAAAGAGAACCTTTTTGCAATGAGTGAGAAATGCACAAAGACGGTGCCCTAATTCGGGCATTTTCCCGCCATAATCAACCATGATACAAGGTCTCATACTTGAGCACAATGCCAATATATCTGCATCAATAATTGAACACCACAACTGCACAAATTCAATTACCAACAAATGTAGAAGAATTTTTTTTTTTTTAATTAAAAAAAACTATTGTTAAAACTAGTGAAAATATCCATCAAACCAAAGAAGAGTGCACTCAAATGGCCACATAATAACAAAACCCAGTCATTTAATTCCCAAAGTGTAAATTACGAAAAAACCCCATGAACTTAGGCTAAATAACGATAAACACCCCTAGTTATCCGTAATAACCAAAATCCCCATCTCATTAACTGTTAGTCAAGTTTTTTAACAGAAAATGTGTACTGTCGATAATTATACCTTCTGTTAAATAGGTGAGAAATAAAAAAAAATCTAATTGTGTAAAGTCTATTCCATGGAATCAAAAAAATCCGTGAAAAGTCGCATTATAAGGGGATTGATGTAAGACGGAAACAAACCTCAAACCTCAGGGGATTTTTGGTAATTACTAATAGGTGGGTTGTTTTCGATATTTAGCCTAAGTTCAGGGGAGTTTTCGTAATTTATCCAATTCCCAAATGTAACAAAGAAATAAACAAAAAAAAAAATAGGGAGAGAGGGAGAGAGAAGGGTGCGCTCAAATGGCCACAGAATAACAAAACCCAGTCATTTAATTCCCAATGGGTAAATTACGGAAAAACCCCTGAACTTAGGCTAAATAACGAAAAACACCCCACCTATCCGTAATAACCAAAATCCCCCGCGGATCAAAACTGTTATCGAGTTTTTTTAAAGAAAATGTGTACAACCTATCGTACCATCTGTTGAATAGGTGAAAAATAAAAGAAAATATCATAAATTGTGTAAAGTCATATTCCCTAGAATCAAAACAATCCATGAAAAGTCACGCAACAAAGGGATGGCGTAAGTCGGAAACAAACCTCAGGCGGTTTTTGGTAATTACGATGGGGTGTTTTTCACTATTTAGCCTAAGTTCAGGGGGTTTTCGTAATTTACCCAATTCCCAAATGTAACAGCGAAATGAACAAGAGAGAGAGAGAGAGAGAGAGAGAGAGAGAGAGAGAGAGAGAGAGAGGAATGAATAACCAGTTTGAAGACGAGATTTGGAAGAAGGTTTGAGCCTCCATTTGATGTGAGAAAGAGATGCCTCAAAAACCATTAGCGTTTCTTCCAATTCCAATTTCGCTGCCTCCATTTTCAAACCTTTTTAACAAATCCCACAAAAGTGTGTGTGAAGATTTTCTATATGGTGAAGAACTGGCGAGAACCCATTACTCAAAAGTAGTGATAAATTCAAGAAAAAAGGTTTCTTGAACTGGAAATTGTGTGTGTGTTGATTGAAAATTTCGTAATGGCGTTCTATTTGGTGGGGGGGGGGGGGGGGGGGGGGGTTTGAATGGAATTCAATTCAATTTTAGGCCCCCTTCGTCTAACTTGTCTCTACCTTCAAGCCAATTATAATAACCCCTTGAGGTAAAGCATAATTGCAAAAATTCCCCTCAATTTTTGCGTAATTATGAAAACCCCCCTCTGACTAGTGTCGGACCGTTTAAATTCACGAAAAATGTGTTTTGTCCGTTTTGTCCTTCTGTTGTTTGAAAAACAATAAATGGTAAATTATGAGAAATACTCTGAGGTAAGGTTTAATTACGAAAATATCCCTCAGGTATGTTGCCGTCTACACATGCCCTATGGTATTTGATGATGCTAATTACTTAGATCACCTGGGGTAGTGTGGTAAACGAGCTAGGAGAGCAAAGCGGATCAGTAGCTTGCCAATTTAATGATCCTGAGGTCCCTGCGAAATGAACACACGTGAATTAAGCCGTGGGTTGATCCGGCGGAAACCCCTTTGACGCTCAAGTCAGATGTACGGATCGTGGAGATAGTAGAGAGAATATGCACTCTAAAATACTTGTGAATAATAGAACGTACCTTAACAAATGAATAAAAACCTCTATTTGTATGTCGTTGATTGGGTTGGGTTTACTTTGTTGGCCCAAGCCTTATTTTGAAGGTGTTTGGGCTTTCGTGTAACGGGCCCAATTGTGCTTTCGTGCACTGGGCCCAATTATTATATAACTTGGGGCCCATTGAGTCGGTCCAATTAGGTATATCAGTATTAGTTTTAACGAATACAAAATAATAGATTGACAATTACTCTAATATCCCTCAAAAGAAAGAAGTAAAAGTGATGATTTATCTGATCGCAACGGGTTGCAACCTTTTTTATGATTTTTTTAAGGTCGCGGCTAGTCGCAATACTAGTTTCAATAAGTGTAAAACCAAATTTAAAGAAAACAAAAAAAAATTCTATTTTATTAAGATAAAATGACAAATGTGCCATATAGTAAAATTGCCTTTTGTTTATTCATGCAAGACCAAATAATAGATCAAGTATTTTGCTAAAAAAAAAAAGTAAAAAAATAAACTCCCCCTAAACCCTTCGCCTTCCCCGTCGCCCAAACCAATCTGCTGCCGCAAACTTGCCGCCCAAGCCAGTACCACCGCTGCCATGAGCATCCACCAGTTGTCTGCTAATCATTGAAGTGTTGTGAAAATGATATTAAGAGAGTGTTTGGCTAAACTTATTTTAAACAACTGATAAGTTCTTACTTCTGATAAGATGTTTTAAGAGTTGATAAGATGTTACATCTTATTTTTAGAATTAATTTTTAGAATGTTTGGATAATGAGCTTATTTCCTATTTTTACTCAATATAAGATTTTAAATAAAAAGGTGGGGTAAATGTATTTTTTTTTAAAAGACCTTATTTTGCTCTCCAACAATTTATTTAAAAAAAATTAAGATTTTTTTTTTAAATTTACCAAACACTTTGGAAGAGCTTATAAGTTTCTTTTAACATTTTGTAGACTTAGCCAAACACCCTCTAAGAAGCATCCATTAGCACATATTTGTTTGAAATTATGTTTTTTTTTTTTTTTGATAAATTGTTTGAAATTATGTTGAAGAATTGTTGTTTGGAGGGTGAATTCGTATCAAAACCGTGCATTCGACCTGCAAATGTCGTTTTTTAAGGGGAGGACTCGACATTTGCGGGTCGATTTTTGTTGTAGTAATCCGACACATGTCGATTTGGGCGACTTATTTTCGACATCTAAAAATGAGAGGAAAAAAATAAAATTAAAATTGTTTATAATCGACATCAAGATGTCGAAATTATATGTTGTAAATCGACGCCTTAGTGTCAATTTTTTGGCAAACAAATCGACATGTTGATTATGTCAAGTTTGGTGCCAAAAATCGACATCTTAGTGTCGATTTTTAGCTGCCAATTTCAACCATGTAAATGTCGACAAGTCTGCGCAATTTTTTTTCTCCAAAAACAATAGTATAGCTATAAAACACATAAATGCATACCTTCTTAAATCTTTCATTTTGATGTCTTTTGATTTCATACTTGATCTTTGTAAGGTTTGTTGAGTTTTATATACATGTCACTTATGTTGTAGTAGCTGTTGATATGATAATAGGTAATCAATTCGAAAAATTATTATCAGAGCCGTACCCTAGGGTTATTTCTATGCTATACTCGGTGAAGAAGGTTACACTGGGTGATTCTTTACCGTTGATCTACACATACCAATATGGGTGTGTGTATATAAATGGTAAAGATCTACCCAGTATATTTCACCCGGTATAACATAGTATAAACTTGTACCCTAGGATCATGTAGAATCAGGCATGCCTCCTGGGCTAAAAATAATTATTTTTACAGCTCATTAATTATATAATAATTCATTTGACGAATATAATGCAAACTAAACATATATAAAGTATTTTTACGTACACCTGATACAAACTTGCACTTTGCATGCATGAGCTCATGCACTATATACGTACTAAATAGTTGAATTAAAAAATGCACAGAAGTTGCAAAATATGTATGAGTGCGTACAAACTTAACCTCAAATTATATATAATCTAACTTAACCTCAAATTATATATAATCTAGTTTGAAAAAATGTTTTGAAACTTAACCTCAATAATTATATGAATCTAATTTGATTATATATGTTGCAAAATGTTAGTTTTGTGGCCAAAATTAATTATATTTAATTCTACCCATTTAACCTTTTTTTATCTGAGGCGGTCCTACAACATAAAGCCCAACTCATTTAAGGTCCACTCTCGATCAAATTAAACCCTTATAGAATTTTCCAGAACCTTGATCTAGACCGTTGATTCTATCTGTTTGATCCTAGCCCTTCATTTCAGGGTTTGAACCCCTGCCTCTTCCAGAAACCCTAATTTTAGTCTTTCTCTTCTCTCTCTCTCTCCTCTGGTCGTACCAACGCATTGAATGTTTTTGGCATTTTTTTTGCGACACACCCATTTGACTATGATGATTGGCGTTCCTTTGTTGTTCTCCACATTAGAGACCAGATTGTTTTTCCATCTATATGGTAAACCCTTTGTGAGAGGGGTAAGAAATCAACTCAGTTTGAATCTCTTCCAACTGTCTTTTTTCGTATTCTATATGTTCTTTGTAATTATGTGAGAAAATACCTTGAGTGAGGGAAACATGAGTGTTGAGAGTTCATATATCCTCTGTGTGTTTGAGATTTCTGGGAGGGTTGACCAAACCTAGGTGATTTGAGTCTGCTCCAAGGTTGTTGGCTTTGAAGTGAGCTTTATGCTGTTTGTTGGTGCCACCTCCGATGGTATTAGATCGAGAACTCTGACACTGAAAACTGAGCAGTGAGAAAAAAAAAAAATTAGACTTCTCCATTTTTGGAGTAGAGTCCACTGTAGCTTTCTCACCCTATTTTGTCAATATAAGTTTATGTTTGTTTTAGGTACCCAACACAAAAAATAAATGAACACTATAAACTTTATGTGAATATGCAGCGCATGACATAATACTTGCACTTTCAATGCACAGATTCATGCACTACTATAATAGTTTGTTCAAAAAAGGCACTGAAGTTGCCATAATATATACTCTTTTTGTGTAATTATTTCTATAAATTAACTCTTTTGATGATATTTTTTAAGGGCAAATATCAAATAAATGAATGGCTAAATAGTAAGGGAACAAAGAAAAGATTTTTGTTCACAACAAACTTAATGATAATAATTAATGTAATTACTTCGAGGAAAAAAAAAATTGTGCGGTGAACACAATATTTTGGCTCGTGTGATTTATGTAAATCTATTCGGAGTTTATTCGACTCAAATATATTGAAATCTTTCCCGCTGATTCATCACATATATCGTATAAATCTAATATGCGACGTACCATTTATTAATTATATTAATCTTTCGTCTGCAATGATTGTTCTTGCATTATAGAGGCAAATGTATCGTTGCAATATTTTGTCGTTTTCTTTTTGTTTGGTAAGCGCATTATTACAACGAGCCGTTGTAGAGTAAATCTTAATTCCGGTTTTGCCAATTCGTAATTTGCGTACATGCATGTGTAGGTTAAATTTAAAATTTAATACATATTATTTAGCAATGATTCTCTTATATATTGTCCTATAAAATCATGAAATACTACTAATTAATCACCCTTTTATATTCATTTTTTTCTTCCCAAATTTCAATAACAAGAAGATAACATTAATGTAATTGCACAATCTCTAATCGAAATTCTCAATAAATTTGCCCACAGTCGTCTCGGTTTCTCTATATTTACAACATTTCAAGAATCTTTTGGTCTCCTTTTTGGTCTTCTTCGTTAATATTTCAGTATGAATTCGAACAACTTTATTGGCGAACACAATGAAACTCAGCAGCAGAACAGAAGAACCTACCACAAACACACTATCCACCAAATTCGACGATTGGAAGCCTAAATAGTTTTTTCATTAAATTGAATTGTCTATATTTATTTGAAGTTGTAATTTTTTTCCTTTTACTAACAGTTGTTTATATTATTTTTTGGTTCCATGGAGCCATTGCAAGTTAAATTTTGGTTCCAAAACAAGAGGACTCAAATGAAGGTTTGTTGTACATGATTTTGTTTTAATTTTTTTTATAATCGATTTTTTTTTGTTTAAGTAATTTTGTTTAATATTTGTTGGCGACATATGGACACCAAGAAAACTCCCACCTTCGAGCTGAAAATGAGAAGCTTCGAGAAGAGAACTTGAAACTGAGAGAGTCTCTTAGCGGTGCGTGCTGTCTTACATGCGGTCACATGGTTGCGGTGGGAGATCTATCGCACGACGAACGCAATTTAATAATTGCAAATGCTCGTGTGAGAGATGTGGTAATGCATAAATTTTATTTTCTTATAATCCTTATGAAAAATTGAACACAAGAGAAGTTTTATTTTTTATTGAAAAGTTAAAAATATAAAGTAGGTGCATTTGAATTGGGTGCATTTCTTGTGCAACTATA